GAAAAAACTTTAGCGGACTCGTACGCGGGTACTCGGGTTTTGGCGCCCATTTTGAGGATTGGGGGCGGTACGTGCATGTAGATTAAGTCCCCGAAATTTCAGCCCCGCAGCTTTCATAGATCCTGAGATGAAAGTGCATGACAGACGCACACACAGACACACAGAAAGCCTCTCGACAATATGCGTTTTTCGCATTGCATTGCTGAAAAAACGCATAGAAACGTGTCCGTCATGGTGAGCACCGTTGCTTGTGTTTTTTGGTAAAAGTTCCTAGTCATTTTGGAGGATCTGGTGGCGTCTGAGATCGTTCAATTGGATGATGTCGTCTTTCAGGACTTTCTGAGCGGTCTGCGAAGCTACCGCATTGAAATGTTTTCTCCAAATTTTGTTTCAGAACATTTGCCACGTTCGTCGCATCTCTTCCATTTTAGGCTACTGAAAATGGCGATATTTGTTCGAAACTGGCAAAAGGAGACCAGGATGCATCAGTACTGGACAACTTCAGTGAAAGCATCCTGATGACCTCAGGCACTTCAAGCACTGGCCAGGAGACAGCAGCATTGCCGGGTTGTTTCGGCTTTCAGCAATCTGCGGCAATTGAATCGCTCAGTCCACAACTCCAAGCGCTACTTATTCCACTTGCCCGTGCTTCCTCGACCATATCGGAACAACTGACGCTTCAGTACCCCTTCCTTTTGGCGCCGCTCGCCGCACGTCTAAAACCTGACTTGGACCTGGTACCGTCACTCGGAGCAGCTGCCAAAGGAAAACCGACGATGGCGGAGTGTACGACGAATGGTGATGCGGAAGAACTGCATGCTGCTAATTCGGGTACTGCCGACAAAACAGGTACCATTTTCGGGTTCATTCCTCTGCGGAGAGTGTTTTTCGAAGAGTCTGTTTGCTTAGTGAAGGGCATTGGAAAGGGCTAGGACTTTTACACGCTCTTGATGGCAGCACTCTTTCTGGCACTGCCATACACACTCCCTTTCATAAACATATTTGAGAATACATAAACACACACACACCCATACCCACAAGCACAGGTTATTGCTGTTGGAATTTTTGAGCTTGTTGCCGAGCTTACTGTTTGGGAACTAAAGTCAGATAATAGTTTTAAAGGACTTTGGTTTTATTTCTTTCAGAGAATTTTGTCTGCTAAGCGATTTATTCTGTTTTTAGACAGTGAGTTTCTTCAAAACGGCCAAATTTTGCTCCCGTTGAACTGGACTTTTTGCCTGCATGATGTGTTTATGTGGGCCTGTGTATGCATATGATTAGAATAGAGATATAGTGATGTGAAAAAAAATAAAAGTGATTTAGAAAGGAAATGTTTTGGTCCATTAAGTTGCATAGTTTTTTTTTTTCCAGCATTTCAACTGCATCTTGTCAGTACGACTGTTGTAGCTGAAAGTTGGAGAAATAAGGGAGAGGGAAAAAAAGGCATGAAACGGTAGCGAACAAGAAAGGAAATAAGTAGTTTACAGCACAAGAGAAAAGTACTGTAAAAAGCAGTGAGTGTTTCTTGGCCGTGCTTCTTTCGTTTCTCAGTAGTAATCGAAGTTTCCGGTTTAATTTGCAAGTAACAGCCTGTCAGTACTGAAAATAGTTGCGAGCGGGAAGCCAAAATGAGGACGAATGAACAACTTACACAACGATGGACTGTCAGTAGAAAATGAGTAAGAAATATCTGCAGTTCAGTACAATTTATACTTATATTGAAGGAAACTGGAGTGAATTTAATAGTAATTCAGTTAAGAGATAATGTTGTTATAAAAGTGCGTAAAAAATCATTAAATCTGTTAAATACGAATAAAGGGAGGTGGAGAAGGGCAAGCGAACTTGAAGGACAAGGGCTGGAAAGGCAGGAAATGATGTGAAAAGAAAAGGGTTTTTTGCGAAAGGGATAGGTGAAAAACAGACTTTGAAAGTTACGGGAATGCACGCTTGTGAGTGTGTGTGCGTGTGTGTATGTGTATACATGTTATGTGCGTGAGTGTGCAATTCTTTCGCATTCGCCATTTGCACTCTTTTTAAGGTGGAAGGGGCGGCCTGCCTCATGCACCACGCACACCCTGTGGACACAGCAGAGAAGCATTAGGGTTTTTTTGCTTGGGTCGAGAGTTGTGAAGGCGTTTTTCCATGTTTCAGCTTTGAGCGAGTTGGGGAATATTGCGTCAGCGGGCTCATTGGACGTATTGCTGGATAAAAGTTTGAAAGAACGCTTTCTGCTTGCTGCGCAGTTGCTTCTCTCAGAACAACAACGTGAAAAAGAAGCGCTGCTACACGAAAGGGAAATGCTACTCAAACAGAACAACGAGCTACGCCGTGAAAACGTGCTGTTGCGCAATATTTTGGCCAGCAGCACAGTGCTGGCTGGATTGTCTGCTACAGCCAAGGGCACCGTGTCGTGAATAGCAGCGGCGAAGTATCTCTATTTTGGATAATAAGTACGGCCAAGACTCACGTGTCTTCTGACATCTTCATTCTTCCTCGTATTCTCTACCTGACTAGTTTGTTTATAGTTCGAGTGTCTTCCCCGATGGAAATTGCCATGCCCAACAGGCAGTCTGTTCAATTTCTAAGAGGATTTGCGCTTTCTAAAAAATGTGTAAGGGCGGTGCAGAAATGTTCTCCGGTTTTTATTGGCATTTGCATTCCGTCGGGCTCTTTATATTTGTGTGTGTTTTGTTGTTGGTCAGTGCTACCGATCTCGATTCTACTACGGGTTGCAGCAGGCCGAGGTTGGAGCGCCGACTATCGTGTGTTTCCTTTGCGTTCATCTCCGCTGGAATATACTAGTGGGCCGCAGTGAACACAGACTGTAATGCAAGGAAAGTATTGGCTGTGTATTGTGTGTGCTTGTTTCCTTCTCCGAATTCGGTGCACTTATTTTGTTAAATGAACCTCTAGGAGATTGGCAGGGGTGTGGGCTGCGGTAACACTTTTCTGATAGCGTTTTGCTGAAAACCGGTGTTTTTGATGAGTCTTTTAAAGATTCATGTAACTCCACTCCTCGCTCTTTTGTTTCTTTTCCTAATTTGCACAAATTGTTCGTAAAAATAAATGAGCGCCGATAGCTGGCGTGTAAGTATTTGGAAATTGCAACATTTCGCGCCAGTGTGGTAGCAGGTACTTGCTGGGGAAGTAGGGTTAGGCTTGGCAGCATAGCAGCGGTTGAACGTTCTGCACGTGATCTGTTTTCGCCCACTTTGTTCGTTTTTTCTTTATTTGTTTGTAGCAGTAGTCCGGTTTTCTTAAAATTACTTTGTTACTGCTGAAGTTTTTAATATATTCTCCCTTTCTGGCGCACTGTTGGCTTCTTGTCTCCTAACTTCTCTGTTTACATAGGCGCGCTCTTGTATTTGTTGCACTTTTGCTTCTTTGTAACCAATACAACACACGATGATGGAATGCATTTTTAGGTGCTGCCAGCTTCGTCTCTCCATTGTTTCTACCAGGAATTTTAGCGTTTGTTCTGCCAGCTGCTTCTCAGGTAAATGGTTTCACACTGGTGTTGACAAGGCGAAAGCTATGGATGTGTATTTTCGTGCTCAGCAGGGCCAACCTGGGCTGCTTCACTGGCTTATTGCCGATTATTTGTTGTATATATGTGGTTGATATTTGATTGTATATTCATTTTTTTTTTTGACTGTATGTTCAATTTAGTTCAAATTTCCTCTGTGGTAGGTGCAACGTGCTCTGTTTAACCTAATTTTTGAAGTAGACGAGGTTTTTGTTTGCCCGAGTTCTGTTAAATTCAGTTCTAACAACGACATGTTTTGTACTGTGGCATTTGATCCTTGTATTGTTTAGTTGCTACTTTTGCCTTCCAGTATGGACTGCGTATTTGCCACCACAGATGAATGCATCTGAAATAATCCTCCTTTGATGTACAAATAAAACGAGTTTTTTACGTCTGTCGAGACATTTTTGAATCGGATGCCGTCGATTCCTGTTTGAGTTTGGTCCGGGCTAGAAGCAGTCTGTACTGAGGGCTCTCAAGGGTTAGCTGGTGCAGGAAAATAGGGGTGGTCGGGAACCGTGCGAAGAGCTTTATACCTGACAGTGAGCGTCCCAGTGTAGCGCTTTTTTCACACTCCGTGACATGTTGGGATCATCGAGCAGCACCGCAAATAGCCAAATTTATTCGAATGAATGTTGCATGACAGTATCCACATACACAATATAGTACTTGGTATGGTTCCACAGTCGAAGTGCCAAAAAATGAGACAAGCATAGCATTAAACTTAGAACGCACCAATTGTGAGAGAGTTACGCCCGTCTCGTCTCAGGCGGACAGAGAAGGATGTGCCATGACTCATTCCGATTCCCGAAGCATCTCGAATGCCGGCTGGCCAAGTTACCTCATCAGGATGGCTGTGTGTTAGTTGGTTCTGTAAGCCTCTACACTGGATCTGCTCCTCCGTGCTGTGAATACATCATCATCTCCAATTCGTCACATCGCGAGCATTCGACTTACACTTATCCGCCTTTTCAGCTATCTCCCTCAGTGTACAGGTTTTGAATAAAAAATGATACTGTCGGATTACAAGGTCTGGAAATCTGAATCCGTAACATAAGCAAGCAAGCGGACATACACAAGCATAAAGGTGAGTGGCCACCAGGCATTTTCGAAATGTTTAGAAAAAAATCACAATAGCTAGCACATTGCTGGTACCCGCCATCTCCTTGCTGGAGGGTGCGCCCGAGAGGCCTGACCTTCCTAGGAGCCGATCCTGGACAACCACAATGTCCTTGCGTCTGCTTCTCATCACATCACAGTGCGGGTTCCCACATGAAGAACACGGAAGAGAAGTCTCAAAAAAGAAAATTCAAAAGACAAATGTGCACATATCAAGTAGATCGCATCCTAAACTTACACATCGGCGCATCCGACTTGATCGTATGTGCAGCACCACGCAGAAGTGATCAATAGCATTCAATTGCAAGCAGTGACCATACAAGATTCAAAGTTCAAGGACAAAAAAGATTCGGAACACCACACAAACTGAGCTCATTAGGGACGGTTTCCAGCCTTCCCGTAACATAAAAATCGCAATCAATTTCAAACACAGAGTCAAATAAACTAAATAGAAGTGTTCGTGGAATAAGAGTGAAGCGGTCTGTGTCCAGCTCATCCCGACCTTTGCCCGAAATCCCCAACCCGAGCATACGATTTGGGGCATCTCAATTCCAAATTAGTTTTTGGGCTCTGCTCCAGTTTTTGAGTTTTCGAACTTTGAAATGTCAATAAAAAACGCTCTGAGTGCAGTAAGATTCCCACGTCAAACGTTTTTCTCACTATCCTCCCCACTACATTATCTCACCACAATATTTCTCTTCCTACTACTTTTTCTGCTACTTCTGTGATTTCCTTTAAATGTTCCCGAAGGACTGGTACTAACTGGAAGTATGCAACTCCGGATGGAAATGCCTGGCACAGCTGCACTCAGCGTGTGAGGGCATCTCAGTAACATCACTAACAGGGAGATTGGTATTCCTGGTGCTTCTATGATCAAAGCATCTTCTATCATATGTGCACGTATAGTACATGACAACAGCAAAATATAGACAATAACAAAGTCCTTACAAAAAGGAAAATATAAAATAATGCACAGACAGCTGTAAACAAAACTAACTCGAAAAAATAAAAAAAATAAAAAGGTGCCTGAAAAGAATTTCTTTTTCTTCAACAAAACTACACTTTGCACAAATCTTTGCTCTTTACTGTATAGCCTTTCTTGCTCAGCGAGTTATTTCCTGCT